GATTTAAAATAATGTATTTACATTCTAAATTTATACTTGTTAGACTCTACTGAATATTCAAGAAGTCTTCATTTACAGACCATTTTCTTTCTCAGCCTTTAGCCAAAAGAGAACATAAAAGCAAACTTTGCTAAAATAAACCCAATCTCTTCTTCCACCCCGCTTTGCCTATAAACTCTTCTCTGTCTTTTTCTGTTTCTTTCTTAGGGGAAATTTAGTTCTGTTAAACGCCCCAGCAAAATGTGAAGTCTACCTCCTTGATCTGAGAGAACCAGAAACAAAACCTCTCACTTCCCTTAAAAGACTAGGAATAGAACTGAGGACAAAATTGATGCAAACAGGCCTGCAAATAACTATTTGTTTTTCAAATATACAAAAATGTAGGCTACTAAATTTAGTAGGTGAACTTCTCTGAGTAATAAAAAATCAGGAACATTTTTTTTCTGTAAACAATACTGTAAGCATATTATTTATTGCATTCCATTAAAGAATATCAGTTTATAAAACATATTAAATGCTAAAATCTGTCTTGATGCACACTAGAGAATGCAAAGAACCTATTACTGCTTCCTTTTTTTCATAAAAGGTGGTAAATTACAGTTTAAGCCATGACCATCAATTTCCTGACTTACAGTAGGTGCAAACAGACCATCACAGCAGCTCTGTTTGTCAGGGAAACCAAATTTATCATCTAGAAAGAAGTTAGAGCCACATAACAGATTTATATTATATGTATCTGATCTTTTGGACAGACAGGTTGTCGAAAATATCTTTAAGATTTGTGTTGTTCTGTATAGAGGCTAACCATGATAGTGACAGAGAAGTAAAAAAGAATTAATTATAATGTAACAGTAATGAAATTTTTTAAAAAGTTAAAACCAGAATTCCCATGTCCCAAGTTTCACATATGACAGCAGGTAAAGAAAACTTTTTAAATTAAAATTTTATTTAATTTCCGTTAAAACTAATTCAACTATCAAGCTCATTGCCAAAATATACTAAGTCAATGGAAAAGCAGGGTATTATAACATACGCATTTTTATATTTATCTGAATAATGATTCACAATTTAAAAAATAGACACAGATGTGACTCCTCAAATCATATGCCAGCTATAGACTGATTAAGGAATCAGTCTCATACAGAAAGCACTGTGCTTGTCTATTTTGGAACTTTTAGTGTAGATCACTAGTAAGGAAATAAAAATGTTGACCTCATAACGAGGAATCTAGTCACAAAACTGAAGATACCAGTTCCACATGCAGAGCTCCTGCACAGCATTGTTAAAGCCTCTTCCCTTCTTTGCATTCTGCTTCCCCTTTTCTAAAAGGAATAACAGCACTTGTCTATCTTGCAGGGAGTGCTAGAAGGTAAATAAAGACGGTGTCTATAAGGAAATGAGATAGACCACTGCCTTTACTTGGTATGGCAGTTTCTGTACCTCAGTAAGAGATAAAAAATACATGCAAATCTTGAATATGAATCTTCTCAAGCTCAGGAATATTTAATTCTTATTCATCTTCAATATAACCCACATGTTTTTAATATTCATTGCTTTTTATGATAATTATAAACAATATGTGAGCAACTATGTCAGTGTTTATACACAACACAGTAAGAAACAGTTTGCCTGTTTTCAACCTAAGAAACTGTAATACTAGGCATTCTGGAAATGACCGTTTTTATAACATAAATTGTGGGGTTTGGCTTTTGTTGCTTGGTTGTGGTTGTTTTTTTTCTTTTTTTCCTTCAGCTGTTCTATCATATGAGACCTTCATTATTTAATCCCAGAATGAGGCATACTAGTGTGAAGTGTTATCATCTGCCTAGCTATACATAGGGAAAAAAACCCACATAACCGAGAAACAGAAGTGTATATGGATGATAAACTCTTCGTGGTTGTGGAAACAAAGGCCAGATCCAGCATAAGGTGAACGTTTTTGTAAAGCAAAGGACAGGTACTGAACTGAAAGTTGCTGTAGCTGGAAGTACTCCCTCCCCTGGCCAAAGCATTTAGCTTTCCCGTGCTTCAGTGTTACCATCTCTAAAAGGACTTATTTGTAATTCATCCTTCTTTACATACTATTCTGAGATCTATAATTTAGCAGCCTTGTAGAACCCCAAGTATTATTTTATTTTGTTGAAGATAAAATAATATCTAGAGGATATAAATATTAGCTGCAGTAACTCCTAGTGTTGAAATTCCTCATATGTATATAATATGTGTTATATTATATATATATATAAAATAGTGTAATTATAATAGTAATATAATAGTGTTATATTTTTACCTCAAAGCACTTCAATTGAGCTTCTTACCACCATTCAGGACATTATCTCATTATT